GAGAGAAAAGGGGACGTGATGTGGGGCCATGGGCCAAGAAGTGCTGGTGTCTCCAGACGCTGAAAAAGGCAAGGAAATGGATTTTCCCCACAAGCAGCAGACACTTATCTCCTCACGGTTCTGAGGCTAGGAGTCCAACATCGAGGCGAGATTGGGACTGATTTCTTCTAAGGTCAGTGTCCTTGGCTTGTAGACGGCACTGTTCTCTCCATGTGTCTGTGTCCCAATCTCTCAAAGCATAACCGTTTTCTTAGTCTGTTTTTCTGCTGCTATTACAGAATACTGGGACAGGGTAATTTATAAAGAAAAGAGGTTTATTTAGCTCATGGTTCTATAGGTTGAGAAAACTGAAAAAGGCAAGGAAATGGATTTTCCAAGAGGGACCAGCCCTATAGACATGCTAATTTTAGCCTTGTAAGACTCATTTTGGATTTGTGGACTCTAAAACTGTAAGAGAATACATTGTGTGTGTGTGTTTGTTTTTTGTTTTTTAAACAGGGTCTCACTTTGTCACCTAGGCTGGAGTGCAATGGTGAAATCTCCACTCACTGCAGCCTCAACCTCCTGGGAGCATGGACTATAAGTGTACATCACCATGCCTGGCTAATGTTTTGTGTATTTTTTTTTTTGCAGAGATGGGGGTCTCACCATGCTGCCCAGGCTGGTCTCGAACTCCTGAGTTCAAGTGATCTACCAAGCTCAGCACCCCCAAAGTGCTAGGATTACAGCCATGAGCCACCATGCCCAGCCAAGTTTTATTATCCATCTCCTGGAATGACAGCTGGGAAGCTGCTCAGGGGAGCCATGGTTCACAGCAGGAGCCCTCCAGAATGTTCTCTATCTGGGTGCCAAAGACTGGTTTGGCCCTCTGTATAGTCAGAAACGCCACCTGCCCTTGGCTAATGCTGGAGGACAATGTCTCCCTGAGGTCCTCTCAGACAGGGGCTGTGTTAATCCCATGGCCTCTCTCCATGGCTACCCACCAGGTAGTATCCTCACTTTCTGCCTGGACTACCTGTCACTGGAGTGAGCCACAAAAAAAGACTCTTTCAATTACTCTCACTCCAGGTGGCTCCCTCCCTTCACCTGCCACCCACTCTGCTCCTATAGTAAAGAGGCTCCTCATCATCTCAGCCTCTGGCCCCCTAACCAGCAGTATCTGGGAGGAAGGAATCATACACTCACCCTCCTTGGCTCCAAGGAGTCACCTGTGGTCCTTTACCTCCTACTCTGAAATGATCCACCAGTACCACCACCTTTTTGGTTTTCCAGGTCAAAACCAGAAATCATCCTGTTCTTCTTCCTGCACTCCCCACATCTTACCCATCTCTCTGCTCTACCTGCAAATTCTATCCCCAATCTGATTATTCCTCACCACCTCCATGGCTCCCACCCTAGACTTCAGCATCAGCACCAAGACTTCTGGCCTGACCTCTTAGCTCTCCCTCTCCCCTGCCCCCGACAGGCTATTCTGTACTGGCAGCCAGGGTAATCATTTAAACATGTAAATCAAATGCTACCTCCTGCTTTTAACCCTTCAACAGCTTCCAAAACATTTAAAATAAAATCAAATTTCTGGATCATGGTCCGTAAGAATGGCCTTATAAGCTGCATCCACCCAATTCTCACTGTGCATCCGTGATTTCCCTTCCTCCCATATTGAGCTCATGTTTGTGAAACCTTGGTTTTCGATGTCCTGACCCTCATCTCTATCCTCAGGTCTTCACTTGGATCTTTATCCTTATTTACACTATCAGCTTGTTTAAGTCCATTCAAGCTGCTATAACAAAATATCTTAGGACTGGGTGGCTTATAAACAGCAGAAGTTTCTCACAGTCTGGAGGTTTGGCAAGTTCAGGGTCACAGCACATTGCGTCTGGTAAAGGCCCATGTTTGGCTCATAGATGGCATCCTCTCACTTAATGGAAAGAACAAGACAGCTCTCTAGTGCCTCTTTTGTAAGGGCACTTATTCCATTCATGAGGGCTCTACCCTTATAACCTAATCACCCACAAAGGCCCCGTCTCCTAATATAATCACATTGGCGATTAGGTTTCAACATACAGATTTTGAAGGCAGACCACTGCAGAGCTTAAAATATACCTCCCTAGGAGTCTTTTCTGACATCCCTTACCCAACTGACTCTTACTGCTGTTTTGCTTTCATGCCAGTTGGTTTTGCACCCTGACTACAATATAAACTTGAACGAAATAGAGGCCTCGCTTATTCAAAGATGCATCCTCAGTGTCTGGCAGGTATTCAATAAATATTTTTGAATTGGATTCCACCAGTAGACGGCTAGATTTGAACGATATGCCAAATATTATACTGCCAATCCAAAACTCAGTGGAATCTTTCACTTGCGTAAGCTAAGTGCACCTCTTAAATTGAGAATAAATTTAAGATCCATCCCCTGTTCAAATCTCTATTTTAGAAAGAGAAGTACTTGGGCTGACATTAAAGGAGTACCTAGAACTGGGCTGAGTGTGTTACATGTTACTGTATTTAAATCCAGCAACCTCCCAAAGCAGTTATTACTAACTCTAGCCTCACAGCTGAGGACCCTAAGGCTGAAGGGTTTATTTGCTGAAGAGGAAGTGATGGCACTGGGATATGAACCTGGGTCTCCTCTCTACAGCTTTTTCTTCCCCTTGAGCTGAGCTGCAGCCCCTCCTCTTCCAACTGAGCTGTTGTTTCATAAATTCCCAGATGAAATGACGGCAGTGAATCAAGCCACACACACCACCTACCAGTGACACCAGTGGGGCTCAGACACACATGCCTCCTACACTTCATACTTGGGTGGGATCCAGTGAGGACCAGGTGGCGGCCTGCTTCATGCATGCACTCTGGCTCCCTCTTCAAGATGGACATTCTTCTATAAAGTGCTCATCTTTTACTGTGCATTCAGTCACAAGAAAACAGGGCAGAGAGACCACACTTCAGATTTCAGAAATGCCTCACATCTAGTTGGTGGAGTGCCAGGCTCTAGGCCCAATTCTGTCATTCTTTAGGTCCAGCTGTGTAATTCTGGACCCCTTAGCTGACCTTTCTGGGCCTTAACTTTACTCTCACAAAAAGGGTTTGTGTGGCTATATGATGGTCTTGAAGAAACACTCCAGCTCCATCATTCTATCATTTGGGAATAGGATGCGGTTTTTATTAACCTATTTTACTCTGGACACTGGCACCTCACATTTTCTATATAGAATGTTGCCTTAGGAGTCTGGGGAATATGGTGCTGGCATCGTGGAATCTCAACAGCAAAGCTGTCATCTGTTCTAAACTAAAAGAAAAATCAACAGGCAGTCCTAGCACCATATGTACTTCTTAATTTTATAACCAGAAGCTTGCCAAGACCAAAAATACACATTATTCAATATTTACATCAGGCCTCTGAGAATCACATTGCCCATTCTGCACTTAAATTAATTGCATTAATTTGAAAGGAAACGGTGTGGCAGGGGGAATGCTAGCCAAATTAATCACCATGTCTGTTTTTAGTGGCACTTTAATTGTATTCCTGTAAGGAGGAGGTGAAAAGTTGTGGCCTAATGACATCTAACACAATAACTTAGTAACTGTTGGGGAAAAGATCATTCAAAATTAATCTCAGTTCCCCCTTATAAGCACTACCACTTAATAAGCTTCAACCATGTGCAATATAGACAATATAATTCTAGCCCTCCTGGCAAATTCTGCAGTAAAGTTCTCAGTTTATACGTGGGTACCTAAGGGAAGTAACATACTTCACACAAGTTTCATGAAAACCATTTCTGCCATGCCATGAAGGCAGGGGCTAGGCCTTCTATATATATTTGCTGGATGTAAGACTCTTTTCAAAATGAAAAAATAAGTTTCATACATAAGTCTGGCTGCAACATCCTTTACCATTCCTCTCATTTTAAGGGGCTCATTTAAACCTTCGAGGGCTTCATAAACTAATCTGGCTGATTACACATTGACCGCAGAGATTCGCCTTCTCCCTGGAAAACTGCTGTGGAGCCTAGGGAGCTGAGATGCTTTGGAGAAGATAGCAACCTTCCTATCCCATAGGCCAAAAATTTCTAAAAATCAAATAAGTTAACTGAGTTCTTAGCCGGTAATAAACTACCTGAAAGAGTTCTTAAGTTTTATCAATTTTTCTTTATGTGCTGTAATTCTCTCTCCGGACACTAACCAGGAGAGAAGTATTTAAAACCCCAGGGAAGCCAGCTGCTACCCTGAGAACTCGTGCCCTCCTCTGCACAAAGCCTGCCACTGCACAATGATCCCTTGTATCAAGGCCCCGCAGGGCCTAGGTCACAAGGAAATTGAACTCTAACTTGCAAGGCTGCAAAACAAAGCAGTTTCAAGCTAGAGGCCTTCAGATGGTGAAGCCCTAAAATGGGAGACGCCTGTACTTCTTTTCGATGCTTTTAAAAAAGTCACGGAATCCCTACAGCATTACGCTGCTGGGGAAAACTTCGGCACGGAGAAAGCACACGTTTAGAGGAAAAACAAGCCGGAAGCAAGCAAAAGAGCAAGTAAGCAGTTCTCCCACGTGGGCCTCAGGCAGCGAGCGGAGTCAGAGAGCGGAAGCTGAAGTCCCGCAAGGCACTAAGAGGCGGTCACAGAAGCTGCAGGCGCCCAGACACCTGGGCCACCTGCTGGCTCCAGCCGGGTGCCTTTCTTGGAAGAAGAGTGGTGCTCGGGTATGGTGGCGGCACGGGCGCAGCTTCTCACACCCACGACCCTTCTCTCCAAAGGGGTGCCAACCCCCTGTGGGGTGCGGGTGCAGATGAGCCAAAAGGTGGTGTGTGTGTGTATGAGGGGGTCGTTTGCAAGCATACCCTCTCCTCGCGCGGCAAGTGAGTCCCGGGTGCCGCGTCCCAGTCCCTCCCGGCCACTGCAGGGGCGCAACGGCAGGGCGCACGGCCCCCCGAGGCGCGGTCCCCGGGGGCGGAGGCGAGAAGGCGCCGGGCAGGGCGGACCGCTGCAGCTGGGAGGGCTCATCTCACCTTCACGACGGTGGTGGTGGTGCTTGAAGCCATGTCTGCACGGGAAAGGAGGCTGCAGCGGGCGAGCTCTCGGGACTAAGGGAACCAAGCGAGCCGAAGAGCAGCAGCCGCGCCGCCCTCACAGCGCGGGAGTCGGCAGTGCGGAGCCCCGGGGCGGGCCCTGGCTCCTCCTCTTCCTCCCCGGGACAGCTGGATTGGCTGCTCGTGTGGGATCTCCGCCGCCACCCCTTCCCCAAAGCGAAGTTCCCGCGTTCCGCCCCTTTTGCAGACCTTTCCGGTTCCCCAGATTTTTGTTGTTTCTTTTTCATCCGCAGTTACAACTAACGGATAGTGATCATAATGGAGGCCATTTGTGGAGCTCTGTATTGTTCCAGACTGTGTGTTTTGCACTTTAATCGACCCGCTTAACTTTCACAAAAACCCTCTAAGTAAGAGCAGCCCTCCCTGCTTGGCCCAATATTAGCGGCGTCGGAGGCCTCGGCTGCAAAATCCGGCCCCGCGGCGTTCCAGAAGTTCTCGCGGGAGGGACGATCCTCGTCCGGAGGGAACCGGCGGCCCCGAGATTCTCCGGGGCAGTTAACGCGGGGCGGCGGCCGCGCGGGGACGCGGTTTGCCCTTCCCTCGGCTGCGAACCCGCCGCGGGCTTGCGCATTTCCTTTATTCCCAGAAGACAGAGCTGGGATGGACTTGACCCAAGGCGCAGGGATGACGAAAGGGAAATACACAGAACAACGTGCTACTGGATAATCTTTCTGATTTACGAATTGCGATTTACTAATTTTCAGTTTGAGGGGCAGCTCCTAAGGGGTTGAGACCCCGCGCAACTCTTGCTCTACCCGGCAGGGGGCATCTTTAATCCTTTCTACACCGCAGCGGCATCCAATACACCTGGATTCAGGATCCGGATTCGGGTCTCCATCATTCAACACTAGCAGGACACACACACGCCCTTTAGAAAGATAATCTCTCATCGATGGGCATTTGGGTTGGTTCCAGGTCTTTACTATTGTAAACTGTGCTGCAATGAACATTCATGTGCATGTAGAACGATTTATAATCCTTTGGATATGTACCCAGTAATGGGATTGCTGGGTCAAACGGAATTTCTATTTCAGGGAAAATGTGGCACTATATGTGGCACTATATTATGCAGCCATGAAAAACGATGAGTTCGTGTCCTTTGTAGGGACATGGATGAACCTGGAAACCATCATTCTCAACAAACTGACACAAGAGCAGAAAAACACCGCATGTTCTCACTCATAGGTGGGTGTTGAACAATGAGAACATATGGACACGGGGAGGGGAGCACTACACTCTGGGGTCTGTTGGGGGGAAATAGGGGAGGGGCAGTGGGGGGTGGGGAGTTGGGGAGAGATAGCATGGGGAGAAATGACAGATATAGGTGATGGGGAGGAAGGCAGCAAATCACACTACCACGTGTGTACCTGTGCAACAGTCTTATATGTTCTTCACATGTACTCCAAAACCTAAAATGCAATACAAAAATAAAATTTTAAAAAATGAAAGATAATCTCTCTCACACACACTAGGTAGCCCTTTAGAGGGATAATCTCTCTCTCTCTCTCACACACACACACAAACACACACACACACACACACACACACACACACACACACACACACACACCCCATTAGCCCTTTAGAGGGATAATCCCTCATTTTCAAAGCCCCCATCCCTTTCCTTCTGTGGTAATCCAATTTAACCTTCCTGGATGGATTAAGCGCTCAGACAAAATAATGGGTGGCAACGATCTTAAGGGTGGACTCTGAGATATAGAAATACTGCAAATTAGCTTGGAGGTGGGAGGAGGACCAAGAAAGGAGATGCTTTCCTCTTTCCTTACAGCAACAAAACACGGAAACAACACAAGTACAGTTTAATTCAAAATACCAGTGTGATGTTAGCCTGGAAATTGCTTATAGAAACTGTTTACTTAAACAGTATAGATTTTTGTCCTCTCATTACTATATGCTTTAGGTCTAAATTTTCTCACAATGTAAAATTTTCTTTCTTCCGTTACAACCATCTATTTCTTTTACGTTATAAAATGAAATGGCAAAAGAGGAAAAAAAGTAGAATCCGGGTGCTCCTTTGAGGAATAGGAGATTGGGAGCCCTTGGATGGAGAGGGGCTTTCTAGAGGCCTTTCTGCTGATTGCTCAGTTGAGCAGGAAGCCCACCACTCAGCAGTGAACCATTGAGGGCACAGGGATGCCCTGGGCTTTATGGCCACTACCTAAGTAGGGGATCCTAGCCAACTTAAGTGCCTTGATATGATTAGTAAGTCCAGTTTCTACTCAGCACTGCGTCTCTGCTAAAAGTTAGACACTGTAACTAAGTTAGATCCTGTAAGCATAAAATATCCCTAGGCATAGGAGTTGGAAACTTGGGGGAGGACCAGGCTGGACTTTTGGACAAAATTTTCTGCCATAGCTTGCAGATAAGGGCTCAAACATTTGCTCTTGAAAATGTGACGTCTGTGAAGAGGAAATTTTTCTAAAGTTTGAATTTCATATAAACTTCACATGTAGCAAAATATTATTCTACTTTTGATATTTTTTCAACTACTTAAGATTGTAAAAAAGCATTCTCAGTTCAAAGTTGTTCAAAAACAGGTGGAGAGCTGGGTTTGGCTGAAATCTTGGGCCATTGTTTTCTGCTCAAGGTAGTGCCTGAATCAAATGACCCCTTGCTACCCAAAGGCCATTGGATGACCCTGGCGCAGGCTTAGAGGACAGTGCTTTCTTTAGTACGATATCTTTGAAAAGGTAGGCAGTACTATTTTTGCCTTATTTTCAAGTTTTGGGTCATGTTTTATCTTAACAAGCCATAAAATAAAAGGAAGATCATTTTTTCAATAATCAGTGGTCTCCTTTTTTGATTACTATGTCAATAAGACAACAAGAGCCTCAAGGGTCTATCTATGAACATAGATTTTGCCCTGCCCTTCTGTTCTTATCCTACAAATCCCCCTCTGTTAACCTGTACCCTTGCTTTTCTGAAGATATTTGTAAAGAACTAGGTCACCTTACAGCAGCACTGATTATGAAACAATATAAAGGTTTCAGCAGCATCCCTCCTTTTTGATAATCTCTCATAAATGTCTTCCCAGCTTCTAGGTCCTAGCTAACAAAGTACTGAAATGGTATCACCAATAGCTGAGTATGTTGGGTCTTGAGCAATGGTTCTTCAGTATCCTACAGTTCCCTCTTATTAAACATGTTATTTTTGAAGTTGTCTCCAAACCATTCCAGAATCATCAAATATTCAAGAGGAGTTATTCACACAAATGCATGGAATGTATTACCTCAGCCAACCATATCAGCTTTCTCACTGAATTGTTTTATTTCTGCCCCTGACCAGTGTGTCTGTTTTAGGTGGGTACTACAAAATGGGCCCAAGCTGGCTGGTAACTCATCCTCACCTGGAGGTATTAAAGCTGGCAACTTGTCATGGCTTAAGAAACTCACCTAACTCCCCACTACCTTATAGATATTTGGGCCAACATAAAAATTCTAAATAATGTGGAAGTGTACTTAGAGATCCCCAGTTCTAAGTGAATCAGATCTTTTTACAATACACTTGTATCACAGCTACAATGAGTAGGGACATTTTGGCCACTACTTATGACAATGGATTACAGTCCCACATTGGAAGCTTAGTGAAAAAAGCTAAACTTTTATTAGCAAGCAGCCACTCTAGATTTAGCAGAACATGGTTAAAAAAAATCTGTAGGAACAATAAGTAAGCTAATTGTAATAATGACAATAATACATTTTTAAAATTATTGCATCTTTCTCAGCCAGGCATGCCTATGCCAGGATGAGGAACCCAAAGATGTCTGAACTGGTATAAATTCAGGTTCAAAATCCACAACATCATCATTGTGCAGACTGTGGTCATGGGGAAGAAAAATATTAACCCCAAAGAGACTGAATGCCCATAATAAAATTGTGTTCAGAGAAACTTTTCCACAAGCAATTGTCAGAATAATCAACTTCTCTTTACCCTGCCCAAGAAAGAAAAAAAAAGGGGGGGGGTTGAAAGAAAATATTGGCCAGTATTTATTAAGATAAGAAGCAAAAGATATGCAAATAGGTATCAAGCTAGTTCTGAGGTAACATTCTGAAAAAAAATTGAATATAATTGGGTAAGTGTGTAAGAGATTTGTCTGCAATACATGTGCTCTTAACACTCTTGATTGTAAATAATTAGACAAATTATTGATCTAAAAAATACAGCTGGCCAGATGCAGTGGCTCACGCCTGTAATCCCAGCACTTTGGGAGGCTGAGGCAGGTGGATCACGAGGTCAGGAGTTCGAGACAAGCCTGACCAACATGGTGAAACCCCATCTCTACTAAAAATACAAAAATTAGCCAGGTGTGATGCATGCCTGTAATCCCAGCTTCTCAGGGAGCTGAGGGAGCAGAATTATTTAAAACCAGGAGGCAGAGGTTGCAGTGAGCCGTGATCGCACCACTGCACTCGACAGAGGGAGACTCTGTCCAAAACAAAAACAAAAACAAACCAGCCATGTTTCTTTACTCTGACTATACAGTATAGACCATGATGATACCACATAAACATTAACATTTTAGTAACTAGAGACTTAGTTTTTTTGGTCATAGAAAGCCTAATTAACTGAAACTTTCTAAATTTCTTATATTTATTGATTAGTGACTATTACTCTAAAATTTTAAGGAAATAAGAACAAAAAATAAAGAAAAATGTTCCATTCTCACATTATCATAGTGACAAAACAAAATAAGTAGTATGCCACAGGTGAAGAAAATAGTACTGAAATCTAATTTTAAAAATGCATTTATTGTAAGTACTTTATAGAGGCAATTACAAGAGATATACCAGCTTTCTCAAAAAATATATCACATTTTAGGTGGCAATTCTTTATAATGACCTTTAATGAAAGTGGAGAGTCCAATTATAAAGCATAACTTGGCATCTGTGTTTTGGGTTGAGGAAAGAACCTCAAGCTGTAAAACGAAATAAGCAGGGTCAGTTTTGACAGTCTGCTTTAAAGTTGGTATGCTCTAGATAGTTGGAATTTCCCAAATGTTTCTTGTTGCAATTGAATCAAGTTTTACTTCTTAGTTTTCTTCATTC